TCAATTTTTGGACAGTGGAAGGATATGGGTCTGGAGAATGCCTACACCAAGAGTTTTGGCTCAACAGATTGCAGCCAACTGCGAACATGGTGGTTTCAGCATGATGGTTTGGGGAGCTATTTGGGTTGGTGGGAGATCGAGCTTAGTGGAATGCATTGGCAACATAAATTTTGCGAAATACGACGAAATATTGGAGGAAGGACTCTTGCCACTTTATTCCTCGGGTTTCGTGGACAAGAACACAACGTTATTCCAGGAAGATGGAGCACCGTTTCACACTGCTAGAAACACCCAAAAGTGGCAGGAAGAAAATGGTATCTGGAAGTTGCCCTGGCCAAACCAATCTCCTGACACGAACCCCATCGAAAACCTCTGGGCTATACTCGACCAGCATGTCAAGAAACAACCAAAAAAACCAACTTCGAACAGCGATCTACTCCAAGTTTTGAAGCAAGAGTGGGCAAAAATCCCACAATCTAAAATTGATGAGATGATTCTCACGATGCCCCAAAGGATCAACGATCTCCACGAAGCAAAAATCTTCACTTCCCTCAGTCATGTGATGCACCTGCACTCTTAATTTTTCCATTTAGATTTCATACCTTCAAAAATACGACCTTCGGAGTATCCAAAAATTTACAAACAAAAATTATACACAATAATTACCAAGAATATAAAATTTGAACCTACTATCTTCTCAATATGCTGAGATATCACTAAATTTGTCAAATTTGTACATTGTTACTGGACATTTTTATAACCAATAGAAAGAGCAGATTCTCCTCTGCAAAAATCTTACAACTCCTCCTTTTGATTTTTGCTTCTAAGGCCCTAATCAACAGAATTCTATGGTTGTGTATAAGGCTTATTTTGTGCTCTTAGCAGTTAAGAATTGTTTTTTGAACTATTTATAACACACTTAGAAAGCCAGATAAATTATAGTATTTTTTTTTCTAATGACTGATATATTTTTGTCTTCTAAAACACATGTATGAAAATTACTTAAGTTATTTTTTGGACAACCAACTTAATGAGAAAAAAAAATAAGGGTTACTGAAGCCACAACTTCTGAGATTAAACCTATAATGAAAGAAAAATGGGAGGTATGACAACTGTTCAGAAGCTGCTGTCCAAAAAAGGGTATAACATTTACAAGTTAAACCTTTCCATACTGGTAGGGGTCAGAGCACATGTCATCATATTTTACACTTACCTTCAGAATTTTATTAAACTAGTATTTTATGAATTTATATCCATAAAGTTGGAATCATATTTTGTAATTCAACTTTTAGTATCATACATTATTTAATTTCTTAGTTCAAAAGTAAATATAAAAAAAAGCTAAATATTGATTTTTTTTTGTGTGTCACATGATACATTGTCTTCTACTTTTGCTCAGATCATACTGTGGGCATCATTAAAGTCTACAGTTTTTAAGGAATTAGAAACTCAAATTACCAATACTGACAAGGTAGAATATAAAATAAGCATCTCCTGACTTTTTTATTTGCTGAGATATCATTACATTTACAAAACCCACCACACTGATTCCACCCACCTCTTTCTTTGAAAATACTTGTTTACATATGCCCACATCCCTTAAGTACATGTTTATAACCAATAAAGAGTGCTAATTTCAAAATGTGTGATCCTGTCAGTCTTCCTAAAGTATTTATGCAGGTAAGCCATTATAACTGTTAAGAGTTTGAAAAGTGATGATCCAGGCAATATTCTGATCAGAAATAATATTTTTTAGCCTCAAATATAGCTTAGTTAGGAAATTTGATAAATTGAACTTGGAATTTTGTGGTATCAGTATAGTAATTTATAATTTTTTGTATTTCAAAATGCATATATATAAAAACATAAAAAACTTATTCTTTTCACATCGTCCATGTGCAACATTCAATGAGGCTTGGCAAGTACAATGCACAAATACAAAACTTCAAAACATTGTAAATAGTAGAGGTCATTGTTTTCTATATATTGTTTAATTACCATTTTATGTTTTAAGAAAAATATACAAAATTTAAGAGTTTATTTGTAATTAGTAATATATATGCATACGTAACGTATGGTAACCGAAATGTCACTGTATTTTACAAAATACTGGTACGCTAGTATTAATACTAAGGAGAGCAAGACATCTGTACTTTTTGTAAAGGCCAGTTTCATGCGCCGCATGATTTAACACTTGTGTGGTGGTATTATTAGCGAGACACAGTTCATAGGTCAATATAGCAAAAAATTAATAAACTGTAATAAATGTATACTGTTATGAGATTTAAGCTATTTGAAATAAACATTTGTGGTTTCCTATTACAATTTGCAGTTATTCTAAAATAAAAAATGGATAATTTAGATTTCCTAATTTTTTATGGTGGATAAAAGGATCGGTCAAATCAACCAACTCTGTTAAAATTAAGGTAGAGAAAATAACCGAATACAGTTTTTCTAAAAAAACGTTTGATAGTTATTTAGAAGGTTATAGAGATTAAGCAAATGAAACATGACAATTTTCATATAAAGAAAAGTATTTTTAATCTTAAAATCAAAATTACTTTGATTGTTGGATAGTCAACATTCCAAAAGAAAAAAATGCATGAGCAAATCTTTAATTAAAAAATACTTAATTAATACTTAACTTAAAAAACTGATATCTTGTGTAGGAAAGCTTTGTAACGTTTACTGATAATCTGCTAAATTTCGTGAAGATATGAAAGTTATAGTATGACTACTCTCATGGTTACATTGGTGATTATGTAGTAGGTGGAATGCACCTAGCCCCGTAGTCAAAGCATGTTGACATTATAATGTGGAGTAATCTGAATAAGCTTTAATTATGTAAAAATATGAAATTATAATTAACAAAGTAACCTACCTTTTCCCCAACAACAACATCAAACTCCACTGTTTCTCCATCACCCACACTTCGTACCAACTTTCTGGGATTGTTCTTTGCAATTGCTGTCTAGGAGACCAATGTAAAAACTACAAATCAGAATCACTCAACTTGATTAAAAGTAATTTTGTTTATCAAACAATTCTCATAACAAAGGCACTCATTCAATTAGTACCACGTATATAAGTCACCTAAAGTGATTAACAGTGATGTAAAAAAGGAACTATTATACATTAACTACAGGAAGTTTTCTAGCACAGGAATTAACAAATAACTATAGTACCCAATCATTAATAAGTCAGATTATATATATTTTGTCAGCTTTTCTAGAACAGCACTACACTATTTAATGTGTACTTGTATCATAAATGGGGTAGTTTTATACAACTTAGAAGTTGCTTCAAAGAAGACAAAAAAAAATGTGATGTACACCAAAAGTATAGGTAAAATACAAAGAGGAAGTAACAAATAGAAATGTATACACAACATCAAAAATGCAGCAAATAATTCTACACTTAATAATTGGTAATGAATCATCAGAAACTTAATTTTGAAGTTCATATTCTTAAACTGAAATTGCAAAAGTCTGTTAAACCCCTAATGTTAATCTGGAGCATCAAAGTTTACTACATTCTATCTTTGACAATGTGACATCCAGATGGGTGCATTATGACTTGAGGACAAAACTGTACTGCTGAATTAAATAAGTTACAGAAAATAAACTTGTAATCATTATTTCACACCTTAAAAAAAGAAATCAATAAAAACGTTTTATTTAATTTCACACACGGAAAATAAAATCACAGATTTTGGTTGTGGGTTGATTTCAGCGTACTACAAAGGAAAACATCAGTGTTTGTGAATTTCTGAAATTTTTCTGAGAATAACATAGGACTTGTGGTCCCTAGAAGGAAAATACAAATAGTTTTTTTGAAATAGAATTTTGTAACTTCAATACAAATGCAATTTCATTGGTTTTAGTGAATCAATGTTGTCAGAGTATGATGTGATTGCCTAATTTTCAGTTTGAGAAGTCAGATGTACCCATAAAGTTAATCTGGTGCATCAAAGTTTAATACATTATATATTTAATTGTATCTACATTTGAAATAAAAACAATGGTACAATTTGTCATCAATAAAAACAGGGGATGTGGGAGCAATGGGGTTAGACTTTCAAAGACTTTTACAGATCCATTTGCTAAAAAGCACAGCTTTTCCAGTACTGAAATATTTGTTTACAAAATTCCATGACTTTACAGTATTTTCATGACCTGCACAAACAAGTTTTTTTCACTTACCTATACACACTCAAATCTTTATATTAAGTGTGTCTATAACATGAAAACATTTTCTCTGTGATATTTTTAAAGTGATTGTTAGCCATTTAACATATTCGATTGTAGTGGATGTGAATTTCTAGTTCAAAGTAAACAGAAGTGATTTTAACTTTTTTTGACCTGGTCATTCATCCAATGGCAAAAGATACCAAGAAAAATTTGTAATATGTTTGATAATCAAAAATTATGAAATAAAAGTATATTATTATTTGAAGTATTTGGAAATTACAGCAAGAGAAGGGGGAGTGTCCAATTTTACCACAACTGAGAGTGGGAGTAATAAAGGACAAAATGACAATACAAAATTGTGAAACCAAACTGCAATTAAGCATTCTATATTTGTAACTATCACTTATTTTCTATAATTCATAAAATTCAATTTTTACTGAAAGAAACCATACCCAATGAACAAAGTTAAATGAGCATAAAATGCACAGTTCAGAGTGACACTTTAGAAAAAAATCACATGATATTTTACACATTTTCATACCTCCAGCTTTCTCACTGTACAGATAGTATCAACTTAGGTCTTTTTGTGTGAATGATATGAAATATTTTGATTTTTTGAATAAGGATCATGTATGTGTATTTGTGTGTGGAATATAAATAGATATTTCCTTATATTTGCAAAATATATGAAAATGTCAGTATGTTGTATGTGTAATCATTGAACCTTTTGTGTGTAACCGAGTTGTTTACAGGAAATATTGAATTTTATCTTTTCTGATACTAAAGTGTGATAAAAAAATTAATAAGAAGTTGAACATCTGTTGGTGTCAGTATTATATATGTAGGTGTCTGAAACATGGCAGCATCTAGAGCCAAAAATACATACATAAATACAACTGATTAGCCCTTTCAAGACAGGTCACGGGTGAAAGGCCATGTCATCTCGCTTGTTGACTTGCATTAAAAATTTTATTGAACAACTATTTCATGAATTTATATCAAAATTTGGTATCAAACTGTAGACTACAATTCAAATTTTAGTATTATACCTTACTCAACTACTTAATTTAAATGTAAATGTTAAGAAAAAACAGTTAAACATCAATTTTTGTGTGTGTCACATGGTATGTTGAATGCAGCACTGGTTCAAATTAGATGTTTGTGAAGTCAAATGACTAAGTCTATAGTTTTGAATGAATTAGAAACCCAAATTACCAATATTGACAAGCTAGAATAAAAAATAAGAGCCTCTTATCTTTTCAATTTGCTAAGATATTGCTCATGTAATAAAT